GGGAAGTATAGTAGGGCGCCTCATATACAGTACGACATTAATTTTGCAAAACTTCCGTCTCGTTTCGTCGCAATCACATTGGGTAGGTGTCGTTGAAACTGGCGGAAAAATTTCCGATCTTCTGGCTTTCCCAACGTCAAAGAGAATTTGTCATTCTGGGGTAACTGGTATCCAAAATTCTTCACCCCCGCGTGCAAAATGTATCGTGGCTACTATAGTAGTCAGTCTAACCATGCTGACTATACGATACTAAAGCATTCACGTTGTGATAAACACGTTGATAAGTAAAATTGAAAAAGTGAATTGAATTTAGCTTCAGCTCTCGCCAAAAAACATACGCAGGGCACGTCAACGTGCCCATAAAATGAACTGCGTCCATAGTACTACATCTTCGTCTCTCAAACGTATTCTACCAACATCGAGAACTACGAGCATTGCTGATATGACAACTATCACCGACGGTGCCGTAACCCCTGACACATCTACAAAGAAACTTACTTTAATGGCTAAATATGCCCGTGCCACCCACCATCTTCGGCGCGCCAAACGACAAAACGAAGCCGACGAAGACTTTCGGCGTGCTGCTGTGACACGTGCCCACTCTACAACCAAAATAGTCATCAAATCACTCAGTCAACGACCACCACCACGCCTTACTTCTGATGCCAACCCACCTGATGATATTCTCATTCTAATACCACACGTGCTAGCAACCAAACGATATACAATGAGACCGTGTAAAATTCGATCTATTAGGACGATATTAACGCCTTAGAGTAAATAAACGCGTAGGTAAATTCTAAGTATCGTAAAAATATCAAAGTAAATAAACGAAATGAGAATTTTAGTAAAGTTAGGTATGCCTTGTGGAAACAGCAATACTCTGAGGGATTGTGAGGCTGAGACATTGCCTATATATAATCCTCTCAGTACTGTTTCCGCCGAAGGGATTTTATTTAGTGTTTCGTTGTCGCTCTATTAGAAACTATGGTATGTTTCGCTGGGGCGAATCTGAGAGACTCATAAAATCCTATCTGTAGAAAAAAAAAGAAGAAAAAAATACTCTTGATATCCTTAGTTATTATCTTAACCAATAACTTGCCACTTATCAAGAATTACCGACGTAGCCTTCATCAGACTGGCACATCTGATTGGCTGATCGGAGGATCAACTAGGTAACGTTAATAGTCCATAAAAACCTATATTCGGTTGAGCCATCTCGCTACCGAAGTCTTCAGATATACATAAAGTTGGAAAGTAAACATAGTTCTATTAATAGAACTAACTAGACCAACTCCTATGTTTGGTATTTTACTGGGGCCTTTTAATGGCTTTGTCCAAATATCTGATATGTATAATGGAAAAGGCATTAATTAATAAAACCATTAAAAACCATTTAGCAAACTTAAGTTCCTTGTACTATTAAGAGTACGTTTTTAGTATACGTACTGCTTAAGAGTACGTTTATCATAGAGTCTAGTGTGAAGGCCCGGCTATTACAACCGTAAAGGCACTATACACGGTCTGTGCAGCCATTCAGGAACCCCTACCTACCCCTACAACCATCTTAGAGGCTCTCCGTGGTAACGATGCGGATCTTTGACGCGAGCCATCAAAGTTGAATTGACGAGTCTCCACAAGTCCGGCACCTATGACCTACGCAACCCAGTGAATGTGACCGATGATGCTTCATTATTACTAGCAAATGTGTTTTCAAAATCAGAATGATTGAGGTTTTAGGGTTTAGCGTATAATTCATGCAATCCCAGGCGTCAATTATGATGAAAAATTTACTCCAACATGTTTGTATGAATTGCTCCGAACAGTGTTAGCCGTTTCTGCAACACAGGTCAGGCTTGTCGAGCATATGGATGTTGACGCTGCTGTATATGCGCTCGCCGAAAGATTCAAGTGCTGTTGGCCTGCCCGATGATTCCATTCTCTCCTTGAAGAAAATCCTGTACGGCTTGAAACAATCCGGTAGACTCTGGCATGCCCTCAACAAGTCTAAGCCTTTCGGCATAGGATTTCACTAAAGTACCTTTGACCCGTGCATGTTCATCATAGACTGAAACCGACTTTTTGTACATCATCCTTCTCTATGTCGACGACAGACATTTTTGTCTGTGGTAAGCGACAGAGTGATGTACAAGATTTCAAAGACTTTTTCTCCCAGGAATTCAGTTGTAAGGACCTGAACAGCCCGCATCATGGCTCCTAGGTGTATGTATACGCACGCCCGATGACTCACATTCCATCTCAGCGATTCCCACACAGCACCGAGACCATTGCTCACACTATCCATGATATAAATGAACGACCTTTTATACCATAATCCATGCTCCTACAGAGAATTAATAAGGGCCGTCCAGTATCTTTCTGTCTTCACTCGGCCTGATAGTGCTTACCAGCACAACCACCTGTAAACAAACTCAGTTTAGACCACAACAACTATGTCCCGATACATGACAAACCTCTCCCGTGACTACTGTACAGCGGCAGTCCGTATTCTTCGATACCATAAAGGAACACTCAATCTTGATTTAACCTATAAATACTGCCTGCCCTGACACACGACACGACGCTCCACCAGCGGTTATGTCCTCCGCATCAATGGCGGCCCTTGTTGTCTGGAAGGTAAAACGTCAATTCGCAGACCGTCACGACCAGCTCAGCTGAAGCAGAACACTACGCGGCGCCAGAAGCATCCATGTAAAAGTATTCAATGACTTCGCAACATCTCAAGCGAGATAAAATTCACACAGAACGAGCACGCTCCCCTCCGTTGTCACAATTAATCGGCTATTTATGTCATTAATGAGATGGTCACTAACAAGCACCTTAATCATAATATTCGTCTTCACTACTTAATATTCACACATAAGGTGTCATCTGTCCACAGTATGTTAATACATATGATAGAATTGTTGACATATCAGCCAAAAGCACACAATGGCGGACATATTCCCGCCACACAAGCTCCACGCTCACGACTATCGTTCCCAATCCTCTACCCGAATCAATCGAAAACAATCTAGGGGAGGAACAGACTGCTAAACAAGTTTGCTGTAGATTATATCCTCACCTTGTTTCAGTTTTCCTTTATCGGATCCGGTAAAGCCATTTCGGTATCTTTCCTAGTCTTGATCTTCTTTGTCTGCAGTTCCTCCCTAGTCAACATCATAGTAGTCTTCATTGACATTAATTGTGAAGCGTGTGCTTCGTTTCGTTCTGCTTGCTCATGTTTCCGTAGTCTAATCCGTTCGGCTTGGTCTTATTTTCGTAGTCTATATTGCCCAGCTTGTTCTTGATCTCTCAGTTTTCCTTGTTCGATCAAAGTCTGAAGTTGTTGTTCTTGTTTCAGAGCCATAACTTCGAGGATAGCGGTGAATTCGGACTGTTCGCCCGTAGTACCGTCGTTCAAACGCATAGTTGTTGGGTTTTCAGTTGAATCTTGAGATGTACCAGAACGTTTCAATAAGTTGTTAGTATCGGTTGTTGTCGTGTTAGTGGTAGTTTCTTCTGCTGGTACTGACATCGTGTGTAGTTTGTTTCTTCTTTCTGGGGCTTCTGGGGTTGTATTTGAGAAGTGATGTCTCCACTGATCCTTGTAGTCCTTATATATTCGGTCGGGGTATCATTTTAGGGTTTTTGGCCCGGCTTATAGGGTTTTAGGGTTCGGCTTATAGGATTTTTTCTACAAAACCCCAGAATACCTGTCCGGGCACTTTTAGAGGTTTTTTTTATATAACATTCTGTTTTTCATTGTAAAAAAAACCTATTTGCGTTTACGCTCAAGGTTTATCGCATATAAGCAAAACGTATTGAGCTTTTTGCGTTTACGTTCAAAGTTCAACGCATATAAGCAAAACGTATTGAGCTTAGGTAAAGGGGCACGAAATTGTATTTTTCAATTTTCCAATTTCTGACCCAGTCAAATTTTCAACAAAACAATTTTCATAGATTTTATAATTTCCAAATATGTGTAAATATATTAAAGTTTTATATATTTAGCGCATCCCTCATCAGTCTCAAATCCAATTAGATTATATTTATTTTGTACTTTGGCTTTTTTTTTGTTTTTCAGAAAAAAAAGAGGTAAATATATACATTTTAACATAAAACTTCTAAATTGAAACGTAAGTAAATAGATATATCTTTTTCTAAAATATATATATGTAGTTGTCAAACGACAAATAGTCAAGCTGTCAATGTGGTCAAGCTTTTTCAGGCAACATGTCGAAAAAAAGGTTTTCCCGCGAACCATTATCATTTTATATTTGAAAAAAAAAAAAAGGATCGCTGGATTGCGGGGTGCGGCACCACCGGAATCCGGAAGGTGATTTGTTTTGTAAAATATATGAAAAGAACAAATTTAATAAAAAAACATTGACCATTTAAGTACTGAGTATTCACAACAAAAAGGCATACCGTATGTAGCCTTTGTTCAATTTAGAAGAAAAGGGTTGACCCAAAACCCAGAGTCCCACAGACTCACAACCAAAAGGGCTTGAAAGAACAAGAGCACAAACCACCGAGACTCCGAGAGGAAGGGCATTTGGATAGGCTTTAAAAAAGAAAAAGAAAGTTGGGCTGATCCAGCTACTGGCCAATCATAACCATATGGCGAATCGAGGTACGGGGCCGAGGGCCCGGGCGTCGAGGTGACGGGCAAAAATACGCGCTCTCTGAAAGTAGTAGTAGTAAAAGTAGAGGGTACAGATATAGATAATAAAAACATTGCAGGCATCTTTTGTGTGATTCGGCGCGAGCGTAAAAAAGTATGTGCACCCGGGTTCTTCATGTGACAGGCACACGGTTTTATCACCAAAACGTTTGGCAAGCGTATTTTTATATTTATTTTTTGGTATAGGAGGCTTTTCGCACAGCCGCCCACAGACCACAAAGCGTTCACTTTCGTAAAATTCAAATATATAAATGTAAAAACCTACTGTCAATAACTAACGCCACTGTTACACGCCAGATGATACAAGTACACATGTCACATGTATCTGACTCTACACTCGTAGAGAACGCTGCGCAAGGGTGGTATTGAATACTTTCACCCTAACAACTCTCTCAATCTTCTAAAATACGACTCAGTTTTAAACGGTGTCACTGCAGATAGTCCATATACACAGCTGATGGCTCAATAGCTAGTAAGCGACTCTTTAAGTATTCAGTGGCAAGGGTGTATATATTATACTACTAACATCAGATCACAATGAGCACGGACATATTGACTCCTTTGCAAGGAGCGTTCGACCGAGACAAGTTCGGGGTATCTGTCCAGAGCATGGCATTTCAAAGCGCATGTCAGGATTGCGGACAATTATCATACTCGCCCTTGACGGAGATGTCTAGTAAAACCTTGTGTCTATGCTCGTCCGAAAAGAAACGGCCTAAGAAACGCAGCGTTTTTAAGCCAAAATTACAGACTAGTATAAAAAAGGGCGAGGTCACCACAGTGGCACAGACTGACGGCCAGACCAGCGCCAAGCATGGCGTGGTAAGACCACAATTTGCCTCCCTGAGAGTCGAGGTATTGAGCGAGAGTGTGGATATGAGTGAGAGCGTTGATAGTTTAGCAAATTTTAGCAACGAGACCCGTGATAATTTGGGACGGAGAAACGAATCAGTACAAGACATTACGAAGGCAACGTATCATTATAGCCCAGATTCCAAGGTTGAACCAGATCATATGGTTGAGAAACACCCGCAAGGCTATACGCGTTGCAGGGAAAGTAGCGAATACAGTCATACAGGGGACCTGCTTGAACGCAAGAAAGGGATCCTGAGTGACTCGGGTAGCAATAGCAGACATTTATTAGGCTTACCCGTAGACCACAAATATGCAGATGGGAGTTCAGCATCGCGGAGTGGGGATGCCGTTTGTACCACAGATGAGGTATTGAAACCTCAACAGGCAGAGATTCCGCGAACAAGGAGGGAGGAGGTTGCATATAATGCAGATGATAATACGATGCAGCGGGATACCCAAACCCCAACTAGACCAGTTCCGAGGGTGCTAAATAAGAGAAAGAGCAAACATAGGCGAACACGGTCAGCTTTTGCACCGATGTCATTGGCCGAAACTCAGTCAGAAAAGTACAAAAGCAGCAAGGTCTCGCGGAGGGTGAGTTTTGATCCTTCCGAATATAAGTACTCCACATACAGTAAGACGCACTATACCCGCGGGTTTGATGCCTACAGCTACTACAGAAATATGGGCTTTGCGGAGAAGATGCAGGTTATGCAGGAAATCAGAGCCGTGAAACCCGGGGCGCAGTATGAGACCCTCAAGTACCTCGGCATGTTTATGCTCGTTGTGGCTGTGCTATGCGTACAAAATTATGTCATTCCGGCGCTAGTCGCTTAGATATCTCCGCTTAAGTGTGCACAGTCCGGGTTTGTCCAGGGCGAAGTAGTTTTATCGGCGAAATAGTGTGCCAGAAAGCCGAGTTGTCTCAGACATCCAACTGGGAAGCGTGGACCCAAACATTTGATCTATCATAGGCTACCTTTCGACATCATTCGATTCATTTTGTGCATCATGTGTATAGTTTATCGATCTACGTCAGTATTACGGCCCCCAATCCAAAACGAGTAGAAACGCAACAAACCCGCAGCCATCGATAATGGCTCCCAAATGATGTAGTGATCCGGCTTCCCACTGCAAGAACAAGTTTCTAAATCCATGTGCTTAAGACTTCACACACATACACATTTATTTAATTCGCAAATAAACTCCGACACTCAACTTTATACTCAATACTCTTCACCTGTACTCAAGCTATGCGCATTTGACGCGATGTACTTTATCAGGAAACGTAGAGATCATTTGCGAATTTCTCTGTCCACGTGTATAAGCTCTGAATAGATTTCACTGAGTGCACCTAAGGGAAGGGTACATTCTTGCAAACCCGACCTTAGTTCGAACCCTTTCTGCTCATTTCCCGACAAACAGGGATATTAAATCACCTATAGGCTTCACTAGGATTAGTCATTTTCAATTTGAAGCCTGCATGTGTACAAAGTACATACATCGTCCTGAAAACACTGGTTATATATTGCATCGCCTTCTAAAATAGACAAATATTGGTTTGACAGATAAACCCGAGCATGAGAGTATAACTACCTGAGAGTACCCTATTGAAGCTTCGCGATATACAGATGATCACAACATGCCTGCTCACCTCTTGATCACTAAAGGCGGACGCGCTCGTGCTCTCTGTTACATATGCGTGTACGCGGAAAGTCCTTTCCGAGTATCACAATATTTTCCTGTATTTATCTGCGCCTGAACTACATGCAAACCCTCTTTTTCGATTAATTTTTCACAGTCATTAAGTGGTCTAACTAAGTTTTATTTATGTTTCTTCCGCCTCGCCTTTTCTTCCAGCAGCTTTCGTTTGTGACTCATATAACTCTCCCGCAGCTCTCTCAGCCGCGCCACCGCAGTCTCAACATCTGGCGCATCCCCTTCCAATGCCTTGAGTATCGGGAACAATATATCGTCATCATTGTCTTCCGAACTACGCTTATCTGTGTGCGCCTGTGCCTCGCCTGACACCTGCATCGTCTTCGACACTAATGCCGGTCCTATTCTATCGTCAACGGGCGTATGCTCCTGCCCACTCGGTTGGCTAATAGGGCCTTTGGCCTGTGGTATACTGCAGTGATCGTCAGTAGTTCTGGGTTCGGCCGTCTCGTCCTGCGATGATAGCCTTGCCTGTGCTGTGCGCGCCTGTGCCGCCTTCGTTCTCCGGTCATCTGCATGTGCCTGGGGTCTGTTATTATCTACCGGCGTATCCTTTTTCACTGAGCTCGTATGGGCACCCTTCGCCTGTTTGACCGCGGGTTCTCTAATTCTATTTACATCCTCGGCCGCCTGTGCAGTCGTGGACGTTGTACTATCAAGGCTATTCTGTGTGGTCGCTTTCCCTCGCAACTTCAACCTACGCACAGCGGCGGCTGAGAACACGTGTCTGGCGATCTCGTCGCGCTTCTTCTTGTGGGCCTCGGTGAATCTTGGGCCCACATTCTATTTATAGATACGTGCACACGATGAAATAAACACGTATGAGCGAATGTGACCGTGTTGTAGTTCCGCACGCCATGGTCTGTTCGGATATTCTAGTGACAGTGACGAGGGAGGTATCGGTTGCGTACACACATATGCCCAAATACGCCAGAACCAAGACATCGTGAAATAGAATACACGATCTCTTAAAGAAGGCGATGTAAAAAATCCCACCGT